CCCCCCCCGCCTCAACGCCCGCCGAGGACGTCGCAGCAGCCTCCTCCGACCCGCCGGGCTCCCCGCCTCCCCAGGGACCCCCGGGCAGCCCCCCACGTGCTGCCCCGCTCTCCTCCTCCCCGCCTCAGCAGCGGGTCCTTGCCGGTCTGCAGGCAGCTGCCTGCGAACGAGTTGCTTTTTTCTGGGTAAAGGTTTAGGTTTGGTTTGCTTCGTCCCCTCAGCTGGAGGCAAACTTGGCTCTGGCAGCAGCTCTGCCCCTCCCTGTTTGTGCTGGCTAGGGGGGATCACTCCCTCCTGGCCGCATCCTTCGGGTGCCGGTGCTTCCCTGGAGCCACGGAGCCGGTGCCGTGTGCTCCGGAGCAGCCGGACCGGGCACTGCCGCTCTCCTCTCCCTGCGGGCTTCGAACCGGGAGGTATTTGGGGCAATTTCTTTGCTGAGCTCGGGCTGTCCCTCTTGCAGTTTGGGCTTTGCCCTTTGCAGCCGAATGTTTGGCACAGACCTTCCCTGGGACGGGGCGGGATGGGACGGGATGGGTCGGGGAGGCAGCCATGTTCTCTGCTCCGTGCTCAGTCCTTTCTGCTGCACATTGAATGTCAGTCGGTAATTGCACGGAGTTTTCTCCCCCTCCAGTTTCCCCACCCTCGGATGCGCCGGTGCCGCCTGGCCCTAGCCTAGCCGTGCGTGCCGCGTCCCCCGTACCACGTCCCTGTCCACCTGCAGGTGCCCAGCCGGGGGCTCCCCCCCTGCAGCCGCCACGCTGGCCCCGGCGGGGAGCCTGGAGGTGTGGGTGCCGGAGCGGCTCACCTTCAGCCTCTGGGACTACGGGGTCTTCGGGCTGATGCTGCTGATCTCCACCGGCATCGGGCTCTTCCACGGCCTCGCCAAAGGTGGCCAGAAGACCTTGGAGGATTTTTTCACGGGGGGACGACGGATGTCGGCGCTGCCCGTGGGGCTCTCGCTCTCGGCCAGCTTCATGTCAGCCATCCAGGTGCTGGGGGTGCCGGCAGAGGCGTACCGGTACGGAGCCAAGTTCCTCTGGATGTGCCTGGGGCAGCTGCTCAACACGCTGCTCACCGCCCAGCTCTTCCTCCCCGTCTTCTACCGCCTGGGGCTCACTAGCACCTACGAGGTGTGCACAGGGGGACGCATCCTGCCCCGGAGCAGCCCCCGGGGTGCCCTGATGCCGGGACGGCCCCGACACGCTCCCTTGTCCTTGTCCCCAGTATCTGGAGCGGCGGTTCAGCAGGAGCGTCCGGCTGTGCGGGACCCTGCAGTACATGGTGGCCACGGTGTGTGTCCGCGGTGCATGGGTGGGATGGGGACAGTGGGGACGTGGCATCTGGCGGGGGCTTGGATCCAGCCGTGCTGGTGCTGCCCTAAGCCCCCAGGAAGCGTCCTCGTTCCCGTGCTCATGTTTTCCACGGCTCAAAGCAAATAGCGTGCGGTAGGAGCCCTGTTTTGAATGAAAACCCAAGTGTTTTCTCAGTGCCTGCATGCCATGCTTGGGCAGCACCGTCACGCTTCGTCCCCGTTCCCGCCGGTGCAGCCGTCACCTGCCCGGTGCCCGCGGTGCCGGTGGGACGGGGCGCTGACCCCCTTCTTCCCACAGATGCTGTACACAGGGATCGTCATCTACGCCCCCGCCCTGATCCTCAACCAAGGTGCGGTGGGGAGGTGGGGGCTGCTCCCCATCACATCCCCATCCCTGCAGGGGGGACACCTCAGCCCTGTCCCACCCCAGGTGTCGTTTGCACCCTGGGGCTCTGCTCAGCACCTTCCCGTCTCCTTCAGTGACCGGTCTGGACATCTGGGCGTCCCTGCTCTCCACCGGAGTCATCTGCACCCTCTACACCACCATAGTGAGTGTGGGAGCCGGGGGGGGGACGACCTGGGGGTCCCTGAGGTCCCCGGCGCTCACCCACGGCTCCATCTGGTGCAGGGCGGGATGAAGGCTGTCATCTGGACGGACGTCTTCCAAGTCTTTGTGATGCTCTCTGGCTTCATCGCCATCATCATCCGGGGGGTGCTGCTGGTGGGGGGTCCCGCCAGGGTGCTGGGCATCGCCGCCAACGGCTCCAGGGTGAACTTCGGCGAGTGAGTCCCCCCGCCCCGCTGTGTGCTGACCCCACTCCCCCTGCCTCAGGGTGCTGGGGGGCCGGTGCCGGCTCCGGCTCACCCCCCCGGCCCCGGCGGCGTGCCCCTGTGCCCAGCTTCAACCCGGACCCGCGGAGCCGGTACACTGTCTGGACCTTCCTGCTGGGCGGCACGCTGGTCTGGCTCTCCATGTACGGTGTCAACCAGGCCCAGGTCCAGCGTTACGTGGCCTGCAGGACCGAGAGGGAGGCCAGGATGTGAGTCCACGGGGCTGCGGGGATCGTCTGGATCTCGCTCTGTGTGGGACGGTGCACGGGGGGGGCGAGGGGCGGCTGCACGCCAGCCCGTCCCCCCCGGGGAGCCCAGTGCCTGCACCCCTGTCTGGTCCCTGCACCCTTGCACAGACCCTGCACCTCTGCGTGGACCTGGCGTCCCTGCACGGACCCGGCAATGGCCCATGGCCCTTGCACAGATCCTTGCACCCCTGCATCGCCCCTCTCTGCACGCTGCACGGCCCTTGCACAGATCCTTGCACCCCTGCATGGCCAAAATCTAAACTCTGCACCCCTGCACGGCCCCTGCATGCTTCTATGGACCCTGCGCTCTTGCATGGACCTTGCACCCCTGCACAGCCCCTGCGTGGCCCCTGCACTGCCCCTGCATCCCTGCTCAGCCGGGTCTGCTCCCACCCTGTGCTTGCAGGGCGCTGCTGGTGAATCAAGTGGGGCTCTTCTGCATCGTCTCCAGCGCGGTGGCCTGTGGCCTTGTGATGTTTGCACTGTACAAGGACTGCGATCCCCTCCTCGCCGGCTACATCTCAGCCCCGGACCAGGTACCGGCCCCCGCCGGCTCTGCCCTCTCGAGCACCAAATTGAGGGCAGCGAGGTGGAAGGGCAAGAGGGTCGGAGGGGCCAGACCCCTGGGTCCCTGTCTCAGCCCCGCTGCGGGGGCTGGGGTCCCCCAGGCCCCCCAGGGGCCTGTGCTCCGGGCCCCACCCCCCCTCCCCAATGCAGCCGCCTCCCCCCACAGTACATGCCTTACCTGGTCCTTGACATCTTCGAGACGTTCCCGGGGATGCCGGGGCTGTTCCTGTCTTGTGCCTACAGCGGGACCCTCAGGTGAGGACGGGGCACCCCTCGCCCCAAGGGGACCCCAAACCTCCCCGCGGAAGGGGGCTTCGGCTCCCTCCACCCCGCAGGCTGCCGGCGTTGGGGCTGAGCGCTGCCACCTGCCCGCGCCCCAGCACGGCCTCCACCAGCATCAACGCCATGGCGGCCGGCACCGCCGAGGACCTTGTCAAGCCCAGGCTGCCCGCGCTGTCACCGCAGAGGCTGACCCTCATCTCCAAGGGGCTGTGTGAGAGGGGACGGGGGCCATGCCGTGCCATGCCATGTCATGCTGTGCCACGCTACCCCATCCTGTGCCGCACGGCACCGTTTTGTGCCGTGACATCACACCGCTTTCCCTGCCACGCCACCTCGTCCTGTGCCACGCCGTGCTGTGCCATGCCATACTGCCGCGCACGCACCGTGCCGTGCCGTGCCGTGCCCTGCCGTGCCCTGCCGTGCTGCTGAGCCTTTCCCGTCTCCCCCGCAGCGCTCATCTACGGCACCTCGTGCATCACGGTGGCAGCTCTGGCCTCGCTGCTGGGCGGCGGCGTGCTGCAGGTGAGCCCCGGCACGCGGGGCCGGATCCGTCA